GTGTCAACTTGACTGGGCCGCGGGATGCCCAGATATCAGGTTAAACATTATTTCCTAGGTTTGTCTGTGAGGGTGTTTCTGGAAGAGATTAGCATTTGAATCAATGGACTGAGTAAAGCAGATGGCTCTCCTTACTGTGGATGAGCATCATCCAATCTGTAGAAGGCCTGGATAGAATAAAAAGGAGTAGGAAGGAAGAATTCTCTTTCTCTGTCTGACTGCTAGAATATCAGTCTTCTCCTGCCCTCGGACTGGAATTTACACCATTGGCACTCCTGGTTCTCAGGCCTTTGGACTTGAACTGGGTTTCCAGCTTCCACATAGCAGATCATGGGATTTCATAGCCTCCATAATTGTGTGAGCCAATTTCTCAAAATGAATCTCTTAAGACATATATATGTCCATATCTACTATTGGTGTTGTTTCTCCTTTGTAGAACCCTAAGTAATACAGGCAGGTAGTAGTAAAAAAATAAGAGAAGGGGCCGGCCCTGTGGTGTAGTAGGTATGTTCAGCATGCTCCACGTCAGTGGTCTGGGTTCATGGGTTTGGATCCTGGGCATAGACCCACACCACTTGTCAGCCATGCTGTGGTGGCAACCCACATACAAAATGGAGGGAGATTCTAGGCAGCAGCTGCGGCAGCGGAGGCAGAGTGGCGGAGGCAGAGGCAGTGGCGGTGGTGGCGGCGGCGGCGGCGGCTGCTCGGCCAGGACTCCCGGCCCCTGCCATTTTGGACTGGGAGCGAGCATGGCGCAGGCACTGAGGGCGGCGGTGGGGGCCAGAGGCTCGGCTGCTCCCAGGTGCGGGAGCAAGGCCTGCTGAAAATGACTGAATATAAACTTGTGGTAGTTGGAGCTGGTGGCGTAGGCAAGAGTGCCTTGACGATACAGCTAATTCAGAACCACTTTGTGGATGCATATGATCCTATGATAGAGGATTCCTACAGGAAACAAGTAGTAATTGACGGAGAAACCTGTCTCTTGGATATTCTCGACACTGCAGGTCAAGAGGAGTACAGTGCAATGAGGAACCAGTACATGAGGACTGGGCAGGGCTTTCTTTGTGTATTTGCCATAAATAATACTAAATCATTTGAAGATATTCACTATTATAGAGAACAAATAAAAAGAGTTAAAGACTCTGAAGATGTACCTATGGTCCTAGTAGGAAATAAATGTGATTTGCCTTCTAGAACAGTAGACACAAAACAGGCTCAGGACTTAGCAAGAAGTTATGGAATTCCTTTTATTAAAACATCAGCAAAGAGGGGCTGGCCCCGTGGTCGAGTGGTTAAGTTCGCGCGCTCCGCTGCAGGCAGCCCAGTGTTTCGTTAGTTCGAATCCTGGGCGCGGACATGGCACTGCTCATCAAACCACGCTGAGGCAGCGTCCCACATGCCACAACTAGAAGGACCCACAACGAAGAATATACAACTATGTACTGGGGGGCTTTGGGGAGAAAAAGGAAAAAATAAAATCTTTAAAATAAATAAATAAATAAATAAAACATCAGCAAAGACAAGACAGAGAGTGGAGGATGCTTTTTATACATTGGTGAGAGAGATCCGACAATACAGATTGAAAAAAATCAGCAAAGAAGAAAAGACTCCTGGCTGTGTGAAAATTAAAAAATGCATTGTAATGTAATCTGGGTGTTGATGATGCCTTCTATACATTAGTTCGAGAAATTCGAAAACATAAAGAAAAAATGAGCAAAGATGGTAAAAAGAAGAAAAAGAAGTCAAAGACAAAGTGTATAATTATGTAAATACAATTCGTACTTTTTTCTTAAGGCATACTTAAGTAAAAGTGGTAATTTTTGTACATTACACTAAATTATTAGCATTTGTTTTAGCATTACCTAATTTTCTTTCTGCTCCATCCAAACTGTTAGCTTTTATCTTGAATGCTTATTTTAAAATGACAGTGGAAACTTTTTTTCCTCTAAGTGCCAGTATTCCCTGAGTTTTGGTTTTTGAACTAGCAATGCCTGTGAAAAAGAAACTGAATACCTGAGATTTCTGTCTTGGGGTTTTTGGTGCATGCAGTTGATTCCTTCCTTTTTTCTTACCAATTGTGAACTTTGGTGTGAAACAAATTAATGAAGCTTTCAAATCATCCCTATTCTGTGTTTTATCTAGTCGCATACATGGATTAATTACTAATTATAACTTCAGTTGAGATTTCCTGATTGGTTTTCCTGAAACATTGAGGGAACATGAATTTATGGGCTTCCTGTAGATCATCTTGTAGGCATCATGTCCTATAGTTTCAGTCGCCCTTAACGAATGTAAAGTTACACTTTTCACAAAGGTTTTTCTTCCTCTTTCCACTGCTACTTGTCATGCTCCCAAAAATACTATATTTTTTCTATAAAAAGGGAAAAAATACAAGGCAATGGAAAATATTAAAAGGCCATTTACTTTCCATATTAGATAAATTCCTATAGTACTCTGAATAGCTTTTCCTGTTAAGGCAGACCCAGTATGTAATGAGGATTATAGCAACCATTTTGGGGGCTATATTTACATGCTACTAAATTTTTGTAATAATTGAAAAAATTTTAACATGCGTAAAAAATTCTCATAGGAATTAATTATAGTCTCCCTGTGTCAGATTGCTCTTTCTTAGCATAACTTTAAATCTTTTCTTGAACTTCCGTCTTTGAAAACAGTTTTAATTCTAGTAGTGATGTTAAAGATTATTTGGGCCAGTTAGCTTAGTAGGTGTTGAAGAGACCAAGGTTGCAAGGCCAGGCCGTGTGTGAACCTTTGAGCTTCACTGAGAGTTTCACGGTATGGACTGCACCCCTGTGGGCTTCCACTGTTGTCATGCATTCGATGGTCAGAAGTGGGGACTAGGAGAGAGTGTAGATGGCTCAGCAAGATACATTCTCACTATGTGGTGGTCCTGCTGACAGATCGGGAACATCACTTTTGTTTAAAAAAAACACAACAGAACTTTTAAAAAAAATTATTTTAAATGAGATTTTGGGGTGGGGAATGGCAAGACTTTAATTCTTTTTTTAAACAGTGAAATGAAAAAGTTTCAAAATCTCTAGTATTGCCTAGTTCTCTTTACACTGGCTAAAGTAACATTTCATAAACATTTCATAAGTCTGGTCCATATTTAAGAATTTCTAATGCTTAAAAATAGATAAATTAATATTGACAAAATGATTCTTTCAATGCATTTAAAATGTTACTTATTTAAAAATATTTGAAGTGAGATGTTATGTTGAAGTGAAAATATCACTGGATTAGTAGGAAAGTGACTTAGATTCTAGTTGTCTTTCACAACTCCGATTTCACTTACTGTCCATTTCTTCATGTTAAAAGAAGTCATCTCAAAAGCTGTATCTAGCATTACAGCTATGTGATTTACATGCAGTTTACATAAGGATAAACCTGATTGTCAATCTCAGCACAATCTGTAACTTTTTACCATCATCTTCACTGCCAGGCTTAGACAAAACTGTGCAAGAGGTGAAGTTTGTTTTTGAATATCCATTCTCTAGTTTCAGGACTCCTCTCTCACATTAGTGTCATCTTGCCTGCCTACCCTTCTACATGCCCTGTGACTTGAAGCTTTTTCTTTTAATACTTCTAATTCTCCTATCCTCAAGATTTATTGCTGCTTTGGATATCTCCATGAAGGCTTCCCAACAAGTCAAATCAAAATGCCTACATCTTATTTCCTCAGACTCAACATAATCTGACAGATACTATAATTGGATTTGACCTAATAGCTGATTTTCAGGTGGTAACTGTACCAATTTAATCTTGATCCTTTGAACATCATCTCTTTGCTGCCTGGTCCATTAGTGACTAAGTGGGAATTTCATACCTGCTATGAGTAGACAGAACCCTATCCAGTGGAAGGAGAATTCAGTAAAGATAGTGCTGCAAGAATTCCTTAGGTAATCTACAAGTGGGACTAGCCCTAGAATGATATATTCAATTGTTTTAATACCTAAAATCTTACAATGAAAAATCCTTTAAAATTTAATTCGTAAAGCTTGCTTTTTAGCAGAACTCATTTATTCAACAAATATTTGAGTGCCTACTAGATGCCATGCACTACACAGGGCACTGGGGATGCTATGGTATCCCCAAAGAAGGGACATACTCTCTATCCTTAAGTAGTGCTTACATTCTACAGTGGTCTGTAATATCCTGGTGAGACATTTGGCACATGACCCAGAGATAACAATGCGTATTTTAGCTTTGCAAAGAAGGGATTTAGTCTTTAAGGTTTCTTCTACTTCTAAAATAATTGTTGTGCTCTGATTCCTATGTAACTGTTTAATGAAGCTACTTTATATAAATCACTCTACTTCATTGTTTTAAAGGAGTAAACTTGATTATATTGTGTTTTATTTGGCATAATTATGTGATTCTATTGGGACAGTTATAGTACACATTAAGTTGTATGTCAGCTAATAATATTAAAATTCCCAAGTGTGTAATATTCTAGTTGGTCTCTTTGTATAAGTAATTAAAATAGACTTTTAAAATTACAAAAAAAAAATGAAGGCAGATTGGCACAGATGTTGGGTCAGGGCTAATCTTCCTCTGCAAAAAAATAAGCAAAAATAAAAAAATAAGGAGACTTTGTGGGGCTTCGAGGAGACAATTCCATGCAGAGAGAGAGAGTACGGCCTGGTGAGCTGTCTTTGCAAAGGCCTGGAGCAGTAGCTGGGAGAAATGGCTCCTGATACAGTCTGAGGCAGTCACGTAAACCTATCTTGACCTAACTGCTCCATAGGGATGTGCACATCTGTGTATTTGTGAATCTTAAAGAGCAGCTTGGGGCAAACACCAATGTGCTGGGATGCTCTGAAGCAGCCTAGACAGAAGGGTGTCATTATTCCCCTTTCTGTCTCCCAGTAGAGGATGAGTGGTCCCTGGGATTAGGGTTATGTCTGGGCTTCAAGTCTGGGCAGCAACCCAGGTGAGTGATGGGCAGTGGCCAAATCACTAAACCATGGATGAGGGGTAAGGACAGTGGTGACAGCAGCTGGGGCTGAACACTCAGGGCTACAAGACAAATGCAGAGAGGCAAGGGCCAGGCAAGGTGGGAGCCTAGAAATGATCCAGGGGCATGATCCAGGGCAAATCTTAACAACCAGAGGGCCTGGACTGCCCTTCCAAGGCCAGGCCCTGTTCTAAGCTTTTGAGAAATGTTAATTCATTTAATCCTCCCAACAACCCATGCACTCGATGCTGTTATTGTCTTCATCAACAGATGAGGAGACCGAGGCACAGAAAAGCCAAATGCATGGCACAAGGTCCCATAGCTAGCAGGCAGCGAGGTCGAATTCAAAGCCAGGTGTCTGGCTCCAAAATCTGTGCTCTTAGTCCTGGTGCCGTGTCGTCTGAGCAATATGAATCTGTGGCCTGAAGGCTCAGTAGTCACTTGATAAATATCTATTAAACTCTGTGCTAACCACTATCGTGGGTGCTGGGAATAAAGTAGTGATTGAGACTGAGATCTCTACTTAAACGCAAGTGAGGACAAAAATTGGTAGAAAACAATACCAAATAAGCAATAAAGTATTAGAGCTGTGCCATGTAATACGGGAGCCACAGCAGCATGTGGCCAGTGTGATGAGAGAACTCATTTTTAAATTTAATTTATATTTAAATTTTAAAATCGTTATTCAATTCAGTTACTGGGGAACTTTTAAGTCTCTTTGGAATGACTTGGGCATATGAATTTAGTTTTTCAACTGTAAATTTGATGAAATCTGAATACAGATTAACCATTTCCGATGAAAAGTTAGTGTTTACACTGAGATGTGTTGTCAATATAAAATATACCCCAGATTTCAAAGATGTAGTAGGAAACAAAGAATGCAGAATATCTCATTAATAATTTTTATATTATATGTTGAAATGATAATACTTTAGATATATTGGGTTAAGTAAAATAAGTTATTAAAATTAATTTTACTTCTTTTTTTAGAGATGACTACTAGTAACTTTAAAATTACCTATGTGGTGTGCATTCTGCTTTTTTTAGAGAGTGCCCTATTAGAGAGTGGTAGCTGTGACAAAGAGAATAGAGCGATGGGTGACATAATGGAAGGTGTTGGTTGCTAATTTATTTTTTAATTTTAATTTTATTTTATTGTGTTAAGAACATTTAATATGAGATCTGCCCTCTTAACAGGTTTTTCAAGTGCACCATATAGTATCGTCCTGTCTGTTGTGCAGCAGGTCTCTAGGACTTAGGCATCTCGCACAACTAAAACTTCAGACTCACTGATTAGCAAAGAAAGGCGTTCCCTGACCAGGAATTGAACCCAGGTCACAGTGGTGAGAACACTGAATCTCAACCACTAGACCACCAGGTTGCTAACTGAGAATGTGGTATTGGGTTGACATTAGAGGAATTTACTCAGATGAAGGAAGAATGTGCTATGTGGAGGGCAGCAGTAATGCAGGGAGCCTAAGGCAGTAATCAGTGTACCACCTGGGAGAGAGCAAGCAGGCCGGCATTGGAGCTGAGCAGGCAGAGGGGGCTGCGGCAGGAGATGTGCGATGGGAAGGCAGGGGCCAGATGAGTAGGGCCTGGCAGAGCAGAGCAAAGAGTTGAGAATCCTCTTAAATGTGATGGGAGGTCACTGGAGGGTCTCTGAATGGGGTAGTGTCATGATGTGATTTATTGAGAAGGGAGCAGCAGTGCGAGGGCAGACTGGACAGGGAAGAGGGAGCAGCTTGTTCTCTGGGAGATTCCCTGGCCAAGTAAAGGGCTGGGAACCAGGAATCGGGGCTGACATCCTCAAGTCACCCAGCAGGCACTGTTGGACCTACCGTAGCAGCATGTCCTCAGCTGTGGGCACAGGCTGGGGGGGCCCCAGAATACTTGGGTTTCACTAGGATAGAGTCTGGCACACATTAAATATTCCATGGGTGATTATTGAATTAAAAATACTGATGGTGTTAAAAAATAAACAGGCCCAAAATGGAGTCACTTATGCTAAGACCCTGTCATCAAATTGAGACTTCATATCTAACTTAATTACAGTTTCAACCCTTCCCCGGAGTGGAATCTTAAACACA